TTGATTATGTTGACATGCATCTCTTATCGTCGAACCATTTTTTTAAACATCGACATATTTAAAAGAGACCAAATAAGCAAAATAAGACAAATTCTATTTCTACACTTATCCTCAACACTCCATTACATTCCACAGGTCGCATCTTTTCTAAGACACTAATATCAGACCGATTTGCCACCATACATATAAAACAAACATCACACATGTTCATTAAAAACGTGCAAAATATTACTTAAACGCCATTTCTGTGGTCCTGAGTTTGTTTGTTTTTTTCTTTTGTTTGGTGTTTGTCACATTTAATCTACAAATACAAGTAATATATGCATTCAGCCACGTTAACTTGTGCAATCCTGTTACTCTAATTTTAACCCGGTTCCCATATCATTTTTAATAAAAGAATCACAAATGTGTTTCTTAAATTTGACCAAAGATTTGCAAATAAATGCTAAAAATTAACAAAAAATGTGTGACCATTGAAAAATTGTTAAATGTAATTTTTATTAAAATTTTATCTGAAATTGAATATTTAACATGAGGATGACCTTCAGCCCAATGGCCAAGAGTTTATTAAAGAACATTTTTTAAATCTGGTGCATTTGTAACAGGGTTTCACACAGCAACTAAAATATCTCATAAAAAGTGTCCTTTTAATGTCTGACTTAGGAAATGAAAATGTTTTTGGTGCTGTATTATTTATTTTTGCAAATACATAACAGAAAATTAAAAAACTACATTATAAATTAGAAAAACCCCTTAGAGGTGTTTGCGTTTTAAACAAGAGTGTGAAAAACATAAGATCCCAGGAAGGAATCAAAGTTCTGAGCAGGAAGTCTGCTGTTGTTTGTGTACATTGTAAAAAAGAAGTGGACTGAAGACAGAGCCCTGAGGGTCCCCCAGCCTGTATTTAAAGATGGATTTAGCCACCGTGACATCACTCACTGGTCTGGTTTCTACTGGTCGTATAACTCCAAATGAGAGATCCAGCTCAGTGTTTTAAATTAGTACAGTGAGGTGCAGCATCCAAATGGATGGCTCATAATAATTATTCATCCTTGTTAGAGATTTTATGAAGAGGGAAAACTACTCATTGTACTAACTAATTACTGTGGAAAGTAAAAATTACAGTGATTTAGTACTCACTAAAATGAGTTCAGAAAATTTATAATTATTCATTTCATAAATCACGACACACTGCTCCCCTGTACATAAGCTGCCTTTACAAGTTTAAAGTATAGCTATCGGTAGTACTGGCCTGATATTTACTTGGTACTAGATCAAAACCCAAATTTGCAGTACGGCACAGCACTGGTGACTCTGGTCCAGCTTTTACTCTCTCTGTGAGGATGCACTAGCCTTTAGAATCAGCCTCATGTGGCCGTTAGAGGAACTGCAGTTTTTCGCTTCATTGTTTCTGGCATGTTCGCAGGAAGCTCATTTTCATGAGTTAAACCACTCTCCAAACTGGGACTCACAGAAGCATCTGAGACAAATCAGGAAAATCAGCAGAAGCTCTGACACGAATAAATCTGAAGTCCCACAGAGGCTGTTGAAAAATCATCTCCACTCTTTACACGTTCAGATGTGTGTGTGTGACTCTGAGGAAGGATTAATAGGGATAATGTCAAAGACGACAACAATGGTGCTAATCTGTCTGCTGCCACACTCACAGCACACGACTCTCGGATGGAATACAGTAAAATACAGATGATCATTAATTAATCAGGTCATATCAATGAAGCTGTAAGCACCAGGTGAGATGCAGATGTTGCCTCAGTTGTCACAGGTGGTTGAGATGCTTGTGCAGTTTGTGCTTTGGTTTGACGGGGAGTGCTGAGAGGACGCTTCTCGTCGCTCGAGTCAAAGTTGGTCTGTGATTTAAAGATGAGCCAAAATCTTCTGTGACGCGTTTTCTTTGTTCTGGACTGAATTTCTCACTATATCAATAAAAGAATAATTGAATAAAAACTGAGAAAAACTGACAATGTTACACAAAAAAGAAAAAATATATAGGAAATAGTGTTTTTATTTCTGAACACTGGTCACAAAAAATCTTACATTTCAAATATCTTATGCTGATTGTGTGTTTTTGTGTCTCTTCAGCGGTTCTCACAAAATGTTTTCATCTTTTTCGTGGTTATTTTTGCCTCATCGTATTTCACGACGTTTTATTTTTGTAATCTTTTTCCGTAGTTTGGAGATTTCTTTGTGCTCGGTTTTTTGTAGTCAGTTCATGAATTGCTTTGTTGTTGTTGTTTTGTGTCTTCGAATTGTTTCATGATGTGTTCATATGTTTGTTTTTATGTGGTTTTTTTTTATCCTTTTAGTAGTGTGTCTGTTTTATATGTTTTTGTGGTGATGTGTTTTAATCGTTTGTTTTACGTGCATTTATAGGAGTGTTTTGTCGTCGTGGTTGTTGTTTTTGCTATCATTTTTGTGTCTTTTGGTAATTTTGTGTTGGTTTGCAGTTTTTGTCTACAATCTTGTTTCTCTGTTACTTTGTAGGCGTTTTATTTCCTTTTCTTTTGCTCTGTCCATTCAAAGGTGTTTTTCTCTTTTAAGATTATTTTTGTCTTCTTAAAACTGTAGAAAGTTGTTTATTTCGTTTCGTTGTTGTATTTATTTTATATTTGTTTAGGTAAATGTGTGCTGATTTCACGTGGTTTTATGTCTTCTGTATTATTTTGCATACACTTATTTTTGCCTACTCATTGCATGCAGATGCTTGAGTCTTATTTTTTTTGTCCATTTATGGTAGTTTTGTGTCTTTGTCATGACTGATGTCTCTTTGTAGATCCTTTGTGTATTTGTGTTCTTTTTGTGTCTCTTTGAAGTGTTTTTGTTCTTGTTGTGGTTTGTGTCTATTTATGGTATTTGCCGTCTCCTGCCGTGCTTTCTTTTCTCTTTGATGTACATCTCAAGATGAGACCTGGGGTCTCCCGGGTTTCCTGGCGTGCCGGCTTGGATTTCCTCCGGGTACTCCGGCTTCCTACCACAGCTGTGTCTGTTTGGTGTGGATGCAAAGTGGATGAAGCATTTCAGGGCACAAAACAAAAAGATGCGAGAAAAGTGCTATGAGTGATCAGTAAGAGCAGAAAAGCATCTGATGAGGTCATATGATGTATTCAGTCTGTGTCAGTCAGAAACGCTAGACTCGAGTCTACGAGGCTTTATTTAAAGTTTGAAATAATAAGACTGTATGTACAAGCTCAGGCTGTTAGAGCAGCTGGAGAAAGCCCTGCCTGAGTGGCTGCTCTTGATTTAAAAACTCTGGAAAGAAGCCAGGAAGTATAGCAGGCGGTGGTTTTATCTTCTTAAAGACAATCATGATGAGGGCTTCAGCTTCCATCAACACTTAAAACACTTAATTTATATTTAATGCTTTGATGCTGTAAAGGTTTCATGGTAAGTGGAAGGACAAAACACCGCAGAGGAGTCATGAATGTTTTATTGTCTGTAATGGGACGCTGGTTAGAAAACTGAAAGCTGAGAGCAGCGCTTCAAACAAACCACCTGATGCAGCAGGCGACCTTCAACAAACTGAACTTGCTTCATGTTGATCACTGCGAGGAGCCACACCTGAGTGAGGACACACAGCAGGTCCAGATGTTTCTGCTCACTGGCATATCAAACTAAAAGAATCAAACAGCTGGTTAGTCACCTTTCCGGACTTTCCTAGGATGGTGACGGGACCGGTTCGGTTTGCCTGTCTGCATGGATGTGTTTTTATGTGACGTGGGGCTCGATCCAATTAAGAAGAGAACATCTGGAGTTGACTCTGGTTCAGACGTAATATCTCGAAGTACTCTTTACTGTTCCACGATTGGTCGAAACTGGACATCTCACATCTCTTAAGAACGCCGCCTGCTAAAAAACACATTATATAAAATAAAGTCACCAGCAGGACTGAACAGAGCAAATTAGAAAGAACCTTCCACTGGATAATTACTACAGCGATTAATTTGGTTCAAGGGATTTAACACTAGCTGATGCAGCTGCAGTGAGCAACTGTGGTGGTCGTGGGAAAAGACGTTATACTCCGTTTCAGAAGGCTGAGATTATCAGCCAAGAGCCTTTGTCACAGCCCAACTGCCTCTAACTGAGCATCAGAGGCCTGACATGGAGACGTCCACCTTCCAGACTTGAGTGTGAAATCCTGAAGATGAATTCAAAACTTGGATTTTTTGGGGAGTGAACTAAATTATTGCTGAGGAAAGACCAGGCACTGTTAACACCAGACTGACTGTGAAGCATGGGGGTGATAGCATTATGTGTGAGGTTGCTTCTCAGGTTCACAGATTGGTCTGATATGAAGGGAACTAATTAATGCAGGTTCATACAGAGATGTTCAAAGCCCTCTCGGCATCTGGGCTACCCAGATGAAAGAGCCAGGACTGAAGCAGCTAGAGTTTCCCGAAAATCTGTGGCAAGCTCTGAAAACTGCTGTTCACAAACGCTGTCCATCTAATCTGACTGAGCTGGAGCTGTTTTGCAAAGAAGAATGGGCAAGAATTTCAGTCTCTAGATGTGCAAAGCTGGTAGAGACATACCCTAAAAGACTGGCAGCTGTAATTGCAGCAAAAGGTGGTTCTACAAAGTATTGACTCAGGGGGCTGAATAATTACACACACCCCACTTTGCAGTTATTTATTTGTAAAAAATGTTTGGGATCACGCATGACTTTCGTTCCACTTCTCACGTGTACACCACTTTGTATTGGTCTTTCACATGGAATTCCAATAAAATTGATTCATTTTTTTGGCTGTAATGTGACAAAATGTGGAAAAGTTCAAGGGGGCCGAATACTTTGCAAGCCACTGTATATCAACAGCACGTAGCTGGGAGGATATTTTCCTGCTACATTTACACCCCTCCCACATCATGCTCAAACCAAACCTCCACCTGAAGCTGGAGCCCGGATCACCTGACCGGCGGTCCGCACTGCGACGGTGGGTGTCGATGTTGTGGCTGAGGAAACAAATGAGAAGCTAAGGCAGAGGAAGTGCTCTTGCATCAAAAGTTTTCTTTTAATGCTGAAAATTTATCCACTCCACATGGAAGAGACACAACAAGCACTGAACTACGACCGTGTGATTCACGAGCTGGAAATCAACTCTCCGAAAACCGTTTCTCTCCTCAGACGGGCGGATCCTTATAACTTAGCAATTTTCTGTTCTTTTATTCTTCTCCTTTTGTTTATCTACACAAACCTGAAAGCTTAGAAAATAACCAATGCGAGAGCGAGACAGTATCTTCTGCAGGGATCCTCCTGCAGAGAGAAGAACATCTATGAAACATAACTTAACGGGGCACTCCATGAATGACTCGTAAAACAGTAAATTACAAAGGCAGCGGGAGAAACTCCGGCATATTTACACTTCATCATTTATTCAGTACAAAGTTCAGGTGTGGTCTGTGGTTAACGGAGGGAGGTGAGGAACGTTTCAGACACGTCAAAGTGAAACCAGCAGCGTACAATCAGGTCCACGCCCCCCTCCCACGCCAAACAGGAAGGGGGTGAGGTGGATTCAGGGGCTAATGGGTACGTTTGGCGGTCTGCCGTTCAACCCAGATGTCTCTTCGATCTCCGGCTCCTCTGGGGAGCCCGGCGGAGCCTCGACCTGGTCGGACTCCTTCTTGTCCAGTTCCTGCTGAGCTTGAATCTTCCGGATAAGCTCCTTGATCTCCTCGCGCTTCGTTTTCATCCTCTGCTGAGGGAACCACTCCAACAGGTTCATGGGCAGGTGGAAGCTGGGAATCGGATTCTGTACGGAGAGGACGAAGGACAAACGTCACTTACAGAGCAGCCTGAATTTTCAACTCCTGACCAGAACTGCACTGATGTCCAACTCTATAAAACTCTCACCTCAAAGAAGCTCTCTACATACTGCAGGATGTAAACGCCACAGTCGCTGAAGTTGTCCTGCTGAGGGACGCGTGGGCTGGAACCCTTCATGACGTCCTTCCCAAAACTCCTTTGAGTGCCTTTACGCACCTCCCACTCCACCTCCAGGTACCTAAAACAAAAGCAGACGCAGTCAGATGCCACAAAACCCACAGAGCAGGTCCGAGTAGCCTCAACGTTAAAGCATTTTATGCACTCCAAGCAGATTATTTCTATGATTGATAAATGGAGGCAACTGATTGGTCGCTGGGAAGATGCGTCAGAACAGGTGCTGTGTGTATGTGAGTGAGAGAAAGCAGAGGATTGCAGAACTCGATGAATAAGTGATTTTCATACAGTTTGGGTTTGTCATAAATATTTATGCTGACATTCTTGGTTAGGTTTAAAATGTGTGTTTAACACAGTAATGATGATTTTGTGCGAACAGCAACAGTTAGGTAATCAAATAACTCAGTGGTTCCCAAACTTTTTTTGCTGGGCCCCCCTTGTTTTACAAGAAAAATGTTCGCGCCCCCCCTCGCGCACGCACGCATGAACACATCCTCCAACCACACACACCCATATTTTGCTCCATTGCGGTTTATTTCACACCTCAAACATTTAGTAAACAATTAAGCAAATACAAGTAATCTGCAATAAATTACAGGTAGTAAGAAAATAAACTACTAAGTCTTTTATGCTACGTCCACACCTACACGGGTATTTTTGAAAACGCAGCTGTTTCGTCCACACGTAAACGGCGTTTCGAATCCCGAGAACGGAGATTTTTTAAAACTCCTTTTTTGCGTTTACGTGTGGACGAGGAATACAGAGTTCTTCACACAACGTCAAAGGTATGTGCCTTTTTTCACGTCACGCTGTGTGCACGTTATTGTTTACATGAGATGAATTGCAGAATGGCAGATAGAGACGAAATACTGTTAATCTGACTATCTGCAGGTTTTACATGCTTACATATACACGCAGTTACTGTCCCCCATTTAGAAAGGCAGAGGCGTCACGGTGTAATTATTTTACATTTAGTTGTTTTTTTTCCTGTGTAATAATATTCAACATTGCTATCAATACATTTTTCAAAAAATCCCTCTCTGTGCAAAATGTGTTCAAAAATATAAACAACTGTGGGATGCTGTTTGTCCGTGATTTGAACTGGGGGAACAAATCGTGGCAGGATCAGCCTGATATTATTTGTATCCCACTGTAACTTTACTGTATAAAGAGCTCACATCTCCAAAATGTCAGGAGTAGTTAGTCGTTACAACAAGTGTTTGTGAACTAAAAATCAAGAATGTGGGATACCGTTTGTCCGTGATTTAAACAGCCCAGCGCTGCTCCCAACGAAGGGAAAACCAATCCTGCAGGGAGACCTACCTCGGCACTTGTGCAGGTGAAACCAAAGGGAAGATATGCTTCACCATATTTTCTAGTCTTTGGCTTAGAATGAAGTTGGTTT